TACTCCCCCTCTGCATAGTGTAATGCTAAAAACCCCCTCTGCTCTCAAGGAACAGAATGCCCACAGAGCGAACGTCTGTGTGGACTATTATTTGGCAATAGGAACTATCGTTTAAAGTTCTGTTTTGCTTAATTATTCATTGTTTACTACTTTAATTATGCATGAAAAACCTCAAGTACTTCTGAACTTTCTTTAGGCAATGCAGACTCTAAGGCATGCTAAGAAAGTTATATAGTGAGGTGTCTCTTCCTTCCATTAGTCATAAGAGAAACATAAATTACAATTCAGCATATAATTCTCTGCTTCTTCACACAATGATTTAAAGTCGATTGAATACAATTACTTCATATTCAGCATATTTACTGCTGTATAAAACTTTCTCATTCCCATAAAGAAAAGGCATCCAGGAACTTTTCTGAAGAGCAGTACCGTTAAATGTTTTCTGATGAAGCTTTTTTTTTTAAAACATGTTTTACCTTTCAGTTGTTTACAAATTACTTGAGCAGTGATTTGCAAAAGCACTTAATATGTGCTAATGTTCTTCCTTGAATGGGGACTTTTCCCTTAAGTGCTTTTCTGAGCAGAACCTCCTTCTGTTTATCTGTCCATTTATCTGAATTTAAAGTAGGGTTTATTTTGAGATCTCAAAACATTTTGAAACAAAGCTACACAACAGCAGCATACAACTCACTTCTCTCACCTCTCCACCTGCAACATCTCTACGCTTTCTTCCACGTCCCTACCTCATCCTTGTTTGACACACTTGCTGGACAAGACACAGCACGTGCTGTGATCATACAGGAACTGTATATATTCTCTCTTTACTGACCAGCCAACAGACAGGTTAAGTGGTCAGTCACCTGGATCTCTACTCCAGTAAGCAAGCCTTACATAGGTGAACCTTTCTTCTCAACTTGCAGATCCAACCAACAGCTTGGTGACTCTAAGTGGTCATTTTTCACACTTTTGTTGAGAAAACATAATATCTGTGATTTTTTTTTTTTCTCTGTTATCAAACTCATGTTGGCAAATGGGTTCACAGCTCTTTATGATGCCTGACAGACAATGCAACCACAGAAACTTTGTTTCCTTATGAATCCTGGGGGGGGAATAAAAACATGGATAACAAATTTATGAATACTTGTGCCAAATTAGTAAGTTAAAAAGTCATGAATACTACCAAGTTCATTTTATATGATCTACTCACATTAATGTTAATAACTTTTTTCAGTACTTGATCTGGTCTGGCAATGCTTTAGTCATCAAATCACAGGGAGGTTTGCAGGATGCAGTTAGCAAAGGCTTTTCAAAGTGTTCCTCTCCTTTAGTCTGGTTCTTGTCATTGTTTGAGCTGAGCATTGTACTTAATCTTGCTGATGCTGGTGACTGCAGGAGGAGGCAGTTAAGATTTTACTATAAGTTGTGGTAGAGCTCTGTGCATATAGATGAGCCTTAATCACTTTTGAATTACTTCACTTCTGTCAGCAAATATTCTCCCGCTTTGATGCTCTCAGACTGTTGTACTCACTAACTGGTAGAGTACAATTCTTCAGTTTCTGTGGATGCCCACAGAACTCTTCATTGCATTACTTATTCAGCAAAATGCCAACAGGAATAAGGCCCCACCTGGAGTACTGTGTCCAATTCTGTAGCCCTCAACACCAGAAAGACCTGTTAGAATGAGTCCAGAGGAGGCCAAGAGGATGATGCGAGGGCTGGAGCACCTCTGCTGTGAGGACAGGCTGAGAGAGTTGGGGCTGTTCAGCCTGGAGAAGAGAAGGGTCCTGGGAGACCTTATAGCGGCCTCCCGGTACCTGAAGGGGCTACAAGAAAGCTGGGGAGGGACTTTTTACAAGGGCAGGGAGTGACAGAATGAGGAGAAATGGCTCTAAACTGGGAGAGGGGAGGTTTAGATTAGATATGAGGAAGAAATTCTTTACTATGAAGGTGGTGAGACACTTCAACAGGTTGCCCAGAGAAGCTGTGGATGGTCCTCCCTGGAAGTGTTGAAGGCCAGGTTGGATGAGGCTTTGAGCAGCCTGGTCTAGTGGAAGGTGTCCCTGCTGATGGCAGGGGGGTTGGAACTGGATGAGCTTTAAGGTCCCTTCCAACCCAAACCAGTCTATGATTCTATGATAAAAAGAGAGAAAACAACCCTGAAGAACAAGCTAAGAATTCTGCAAGTTTAAAGAAGAATCTGTTAATTTCACAGAAACCATCAAAAAGAAAGGGCCACTGGAGGGAAGTAAATCCAATATGCTCAAAGAATATGAAATGCTAGCTCCTCAGCTACTGTAAATTATTGTAACTAACAGAATGCTCTGGATTTACAACAGCTGAAGATATTGTTCCATATTCTTAACAAAGATACAACAATTGAAGAAAACAATTTATATATTTATAAAGAGATCTAGTACTTCATGCAATGTGTATACCAAAAACATTAAAACAGTCTGTAAGAAAAGATCGCACATAAAAAGGTAGTATGAACACAGGATAAATACATGTGTATTTATATGTGTATATGTGTAGCTATAATTTAATATAGACCTAGATTTTTCATATTAAATAAACATAAAAAAGAAAAAATTGTTTTAAAGCAATATGTTTGAACTTCTGGTAATGCAGTCCTCATACACATTAAGATATTTTTGATTTGTCATCACATTATGGTTGGATCTTGGATCTTTGTTCCATACGAACATGAGCACTAACACCATGCAGTAAGTACTGTCCATTTCAGTATAATTAAGATCATAAGGAAAGAATGTAACAGCAAATTTACTGTTTGGTGGTACAGAAAAAGAAATGCAATATAAAGGTGACTATTTAGTGTTTTTGGCAAAATTATGGCAAAAGAAAAACTATAAATTGTTTACTAATAGCTAGTTAACAATAAACATAAGGTCACTAATCCTTTTACCTGAGAACGTGGATGTGAGTTATAAACATTAATGAAATTTCTGCAATATTATGAAGTTTTTAGTTCTACAGCTTCCTTTTCTCAGTTTAGACACCCTAATTTTCTCCATATCACTTCTTATTTATGACTAAAAGTAACTCACAAAAAATGTTTATTGTCTTCTCAATAATTTCCATCACCAAAACCTCCTTCTTATTTATGACTAAAAGTAACTCACAAAATAATTTCCATCACCAAAACCTCAATTTTCTTCCATATTTCATATGAAATTATCTTTCCCCCTTTTACTTCTAAAAATATAGTTATCACGCTTATGATTTTATACAACTATACGGTTTGTAAGCCTACAAAAATGGCTTTATCTTCATAACTACATGTTATAGATGCCTCCTTTTCATTTATTACAATGCTTTCTCCTGCAAAACTTTCTTTTTATATCCAAATAAACCAGCAGATATTCTGGAAATCTGGTCTTAAATTCTCTGAAGCCCTTCCAACAACATTTAAGAATTTTTATAGGGAATGCCAGCAGTCTACATTCTAGAGTTTACTGAGAGCCTGTGCCACAAATTATCAAAACATTGGTCTTCTCCCTGTTTTGAGTAAACTGCAGTGAAAATCTGTATCTTTAAACCAGGAACAGACAACAGCAAAAGAGACAGTATTTTTTAAAAGCCCACCACTTAAATACACATCACAAACTGTGTTCACACAGCTGTTAGCCAGTTTAAAAACAAACCATATCTCTGGTGACCTCCACCTGTGCATGCTTGCAGACTTGCACTTAGTACCATGTAACAAAACATCTAAAGTACAGATAATGGTAGTTTCTGGCACCACATTTTTTTTTTCCTTTAAGGAGAAAGAAACAGAGAGCTAGAGGTTTGCAACATGATACATAGCCTAAGAGCTCAAGGCAATTCCACAGCTATATATCATTAGGCATCTTATATAAATATCCCTTCTGTCACCATCATCACATGAACGATGAGTGAGTAGTTCTCATGCTTTTTCCAATCCATTTTCATGAATATTATTAGTATCAGCATCACTGTCATTATCATCATCACAGCAAGCTGTTAATTTTTGTATGCCCAAAGGCAAACAAGTCATTACTTACTCATCAAAAAAACTACTTGTCCCAGATACACACGTAAGCAGACTTTTGCTAGGTTCATCAATGAAACAACCCAGCGCCTTCCTACAACTGGAACATTAGCACTTTTACTAAATATTTCCATATTATCAAAGGTCTTCTACTCAAAATGGTATTTTTGCTAGATTGGTTCCTGTTCTACATTAAACACTTTGGCTACAGTTGCAATGTCACTGCACAGCAGGTGAAAGACATTTCTGGAACAAATATCAGCAAGGGATAATTTTGAAATAACCTTCTAATCTACAGTAACACAAGTCAGAAGATAATACTGCTAGAGATTGCTTTGTTGGTAACCTATGATGCTGTTTCCTGGCACAGTAAGTATTTCTGAAGATGGAAGAGGAAGAAGCTCAAAAAAGAATAATGCAAAATGGACAATTAAGGGAACAAATAAAATCTATTAGGATACCTCACCTAAGGAAAGGGTTCATACAGATGTTCAAATATCTTCCAGTGAGGCAGGCTGTATTAGTACTATGAAACACAGATACTAAAGGAAGTGAGTTCACTTTCATTTCACCTTTGAATTGCGAAATTGTAACAGATAACCTGTGGTGTTTTACTCTTTCAAACTGAAATCATAAGGGAAGACCTGGAAAAGCACCAGATGCAGACTCCAGTTCTGATGAACCACTGATACAGTTAGACTCAGGTGTTTAAAGCTTACGCTGAATTTTAAATAGGAAGGTATGTTTTTGTGCCCTGTGTAATGGGGTCAAGGGCCAACTGCCAAGAGCATTTAATGCCCTCATCAGCAGAAGCTCAAAGTCCTCATCAAAAGCACTTAAAAACATGTAACAACCTGCAAAACATCCTAACTTGCTGACCCAGACTTCCAAGAAACAAACTGATCCCCCCAACAAGCACACAGATGACACAGTAGGGGCACAGTAACGGACACGCAGCGCTGGGACTTACCATCTTGGTCTGTGGTAACTGTGATAGCTGTGAACTGCTTGGGGGAGAAACTCAGCTCCGAGACCCCATTTGTGGCTTCGATCTCAAAGGTGTAGTTCACGTGCGACACAAAGTCAAGCACTGTCACCGAGGAGTTGATGAGACCCGTGTGCCTGGGGATGAAGCGGATCCCTCCCCCACAGATCTCACACTGGCTGGCGTCTGACCCGCATTTCTTACAGATGACACTGTAAGTGAGATCTTTCCTTCCTCCAGTGTCACTCGGGGGGCTCCATTCCAACATGAGAGCTGTTTCATTAATGTTAAAAATCACATTCCTTGGAGCAGAAGGTGGACCTGCAGAGAAAGAAGGGAAAGCCTGTTAAGTGACAGTTGTCTATATTAGATTAAAAAAAACACATTAAAAAAAATTTCTTAAGGCAATTATTTGCAAATAGAAGCTAAAGACTTATGTTTCAATAACAAATTCAATGTAAAAATAATAAAAAAATCTAAATACTTACAATCCTTGAAAATTAAGCAGGAATAATAAATGGATGAGATATAAAAAGCTGAATAATCTAAATAAATTAGTATTAATTCAGAAATAATTTAAGGAAACATAAAAATGACTTGGAAATGTACAACTTAGACTTGATAACACAAATTTGCACGAAATATCTCCTGTGATCTTGTGGGATACGAGGATAAAGCTTTAACCGCAAAAATTATTTCCTTATTTTATATGTAGTAATGTAAGCTTTTCTGATACTGACAATCTTTGATGTTTTATAAGAGTCAAATTGAATAATAAATAAATAAGAAATAAATGGTCAGAAATTTGCATTAGGAAGGAAAACAGAATATCAAAGTGTCCCCTAACATTTCATACATAAATCAGGATGTCAAATCTCAGCAAAAAAAATAAATTAAAATGTACTACTTTTTTCTGTATTTTTCCTTAAGATCTACAATTACTACAGCACTGATACACTGATCTAATTTTCAAACTTTTACCTATTTATTTGACTAACAAAATACAACGATTTAGAAAATCAAGCCCATGAGTGGTTGTGAAATATGCACTTACAACTGAAATAAATCAATTTCTTCAAGTTCTTAATTCTTGAAGATGAACCTGAATACTCAAATGGACCATACTTTAACAAAAACCATTACTATATCTTACATTTTACTAATAAACTATAGAGTTAGAAAGGTCTATATAGTTGTACCTACACACAGCAGCAAGAACAAATATCAAATGCAATGAAGGAAAGTTGTAATAATAGATGCAGAAAAAAAGCCACTATTCACCAACTATTTTATTTGTAATTTTAAAATGATGCTATTTGTTTACATATGTGGCATAAATGTGGATATAAAAGCTGGAATGCTTGTAAAGGGAAAAAAGTGTATGGTGTGGGAAGGATAATGTGAACTAATAAAGGTGAAGGTTTTCTGTGCAGTGCAGTTGAACATTTGAGTTGCTTTTTTCTTTCTGGTATTTATTTGTAACTTTAAATAACTGAGACTGTGTTTTCATGAATATGATTTTTACCCTAAAATAAATGATGAGTTAGCTGCTGGATTTCAAACACTTGATAATTAAAATATTTGGAAGTGTTACATTGCTTTGCATTTTTTTAATGGACAAGAAAGTTTAAAATATTTTGAATGTGTTAAGTGTTTATTCATACATCTTTCTGTGCAGATTTCACAGTTAGCAGCCAAAAAGCCCTGGAAATACAGACCAATTATTTTTCAGCCTATCAAGGAATCACTTAGCTGAACAGTATGTGGCTCATTGGTACCGAAGATCAATATTTCTGGAACCTCTCAGGTGCAAATTATACTTGTAATTTGTGATTTTTATGGTCACAGAGAATATTTTGAGTATTTTCTCCCTGATCTTTGACAGTGACCTTATCATAAGTCTAACACTGAAGCATTTGAAATACTGTAATATGTCAGTATTTTAAGTACAACTTGTTAACAAAGGCGAATTATATTGATAAATCATTATACCAGAGATAACATACAGCCTTGAAGATGCTGATGTGGTCCCAAAGGCCCTACAACCCTAGAGTCTCTCAGATTTACCAGTCTCTCAGCTTCCCATAAAATTACTGTGAGGCTGATGGTTCTACCTACTCTGTAAAACAGTCCTGAGGTCGGAATAAGCTAAAACTAGCACAGATTACTTTTGCTTCAGTTCTTATTATTTATGTGCAGAAGACAGGAATAATTATGTTTCCTCTAAATACATGCCATGAGAATTAAATAATGACTGGTCTTAACAAATTCCCACTGTTAAAACCAATGAGGAGTTTTAAGAATAAGGAGGATGAGCCTTAATCACACTCACATATGTGCATAAGTTTAAGCGGATCAGTAATCCGTTTGAAATAATTGGTAATATTCATGCACTTAAAACTAAGCATGTGTGTAATTGCTTGAAGGATTGGAGCCAATGTTTTAAAACTGGCTTAAATTTAATCTTACATAAACTATAGATATTATGACAATGGGTCATCATAGCTCAGGGCTTTTTTTTAATGTTATTTCATCAAATTTGGCAGGTCAAAACAGGAATTAATGGAACAGGCAATAGGAGAGTTTTATCTGGCTCTGTCAGTTTAAATGATCAGATTTTTGTTGTACTAGATGTAGATGGCATCAGTAAAAGATTCAATACAGCAGATAAAATACACTTTTAAAAAAATGTATTTTTTATTTATACTAAGAGAGTGAAGTTTGTTACATTCATGATTTGGGACTTAATCTTCAACTGTGAGAGAAAACACAAATTATTGCACATTCACATTTCAATGGATAGGGAGAACATTATCGATTATGTTAGAGGTGTCTGAAAGTACATGACTGTCCTGCAAATACTGAAAAAAAACCCCTCAGACACACTTCACACTCAAGGTCCCTCATGCCAATTTGCATGACGATTAAATAGCTTTTTAATTGCTGTTAAATTATGCCAGTTAAACTGTGATTTCATGCAAATATTAAGCTGTAATGACATGCCGTGAATCATTTACTAAGATTTAGAACTTGGAACAAAGAGAGACAATTAATTCTAATCCTCAGATTCAGCTAAATTATGTGTCACTGGGTTTTTATGAATGTGGCCCGATTGCTTTGTTATAATTTATAAATTATACAAAGATTATTTGACACATTGGAAAAATTTGGCAGCAATAACCATTCTGCAGACATCTGTGTGCAAAGCTCTCAGGGATTTCCTTATATTGATTTTTAAGGAAAACAAATATATTGGTGAAAATGATGGATCCTCTCCTCACAGCAAAATTTATGACTGTGGATTTTATGCAAAAGAGTAAAACATAGTTCAGATGGATGAGCATTAAAAAAAAAATGCAGCTCTTCTGCTTCTTAGATGAAACACAGCCTGAGTGTGAGCAATGTCTTTTGCTTCATTTACAAATTATAATGTAAGAACTATTTCTACACTCTCTGTGGAGTAGACTGGCACTGATGTCTTATGGAGAAGTAGGCTCGTTCCAAAAGCAACAGAGTTTACGCTGACTTTATGCCTCATGCAGTGCTTCACACCTCATCTTCCTTTGCTTATCCTCTCCCTCCGTGAAGGTGAAGTACATTTTTCCCTTTATGGAAGGAGAGAGGAGCAAACCCAATGCTGCACAAGTCTTGTGAGGGCAATGCAGTATTTTGAACACTACAGAGTGATGATTGTCTGAAAAAAAACTTGGTTGTTTTTTAAGTGAGAACTGTCTGTGACCAACTGTTAATAGACTCTTAGAGGTGTGTGTTATTTGACTACTGAATTTACAGTGGAAGGGTAAAAATTAACCATCATCTTCTGAGAATACTCCAAACCAGCATCTAGCTGTGCCCCTTGAGTTCATAATTGCTTTTTTATATGCACATATACATACATGTAGCATAGATAAGTAGTGTCACTTGATGTAGAATGCTGTATTACATTTTTTTTCCTTTTCAGAATAATTTATTCTTTTTCTATGAGGCAGGTAGGAAGAACAGAAACCAGTGACTGCAAACCAATCCTTCAAGTCTGAGCATAATGATAAATTGCAAACAAATATATATATAAAAATAACAAAATCACAAAAGGCAGCAGAATTGAAGGCTTCAAGCATGTTGCTTGATTTTGCTGCTGGAATACAATGTTGACTCTTAAAAATAGAGGATAGGGTTTGTGGCAGAGGTTACTGAACAGAGCATAAGTTTGTTGGTTTCAAAATTGTTTAAGCATAACATGAAAAGAGACACATTCAGACTCAAGGCACCAATATAAACCTGCCTGCCTTTGAGCTTGAAAAGATGGATCAATTTATCCAATTATATTACAGTGGGATGTGAGTTTACATAATCAGGCAGGGGATTACATATGATTCTATTTGTTGCTCACTGTGTATGCAGAGAGATCACTGTTAAAGTATGTGCATATGGTAAAGAAATACAATAAGGAGAAAGAGTAGCAGCAAGAGATTTGATAACAAATGCCAATCAAATGAAATCAGGTTAGAAGGAAGAGATTAACAATATATCCTAATGTAATTTTCTTTCCTCTTATTAAAATTAGAATTCTATTATGCTTTTCTGAAATGCACACACTCTTCTTTTAAAAAATAAAGCTACATGAAGTAAAAATGGGAACTGTACAATTTTGGAAAAGCATACAGTATGCACTTTCACAAAATTAATGACATTAGATTCGAAGATCCACTCATCTTGAAAAAAAAGTGGATGCCTGAAGCTAAACTCTTAAATTCACAGTCTCTTAAATCAAGGTCCTTATATTCCATAAGGCTGCATATGCAATTTTTCCAGTAATGAAGAAAAATTCTGGAGTGAAGGATACTATCTAACCCTCGAAGAAACAAGGAACAGGAACAGAGAGAGAACGAAAATACCTATTTTAGGCGTATTGATGTGAAGGACTTGGTGAAGCAAATAAAATAGGTATGAATGCAGGTGGTTCTAAATGTTTGAATATGAAGAAATTTGTAAGGTGAATCCACTATTTATTCTCTGATTCAAGAACAACTCTCATTTAAGAAGTCACAAGAAAAATTTCTAATCCCTCATGTCACGCCTCACATGTCAGCATATAAATTTGCAAATGAACATCAAAAATGCAAATCTGCCCCAAAAGTGGTTATGTAGAAAAGGCACTTTCTTACTGCACAGCCCTTTCTCTCTATTTAGTCAAATTGGCTCATTTTGTTTTTAACTTTTCAATTCCTTTTATTACAGTAAAGCATGAGAGTTTAAAACAATCTAAATTCTACTCTGTCACGTATCTGTATCTTTGTTTATTAAATTTAAATTAGCCACATCTGCACAGACCCACCGAAGGCAGTGAGGTTATATTTATGGCAGAAACATAATTTTAATAATTGAGAGCATAATTTGAAAGCAGTGGGGCTAAAGATATCACTTAGGGAATAATTTGGCCTGCAGACTCTTCATTACTGATGATGTGCAAGAAGATAAGAAAGCAGTCTGCCTGTCAAAAGTCTCAGCATCATTGGCAGAGCTGACAATTAGTGAAATAATCATCATCGTAGGTACAAGATGAATTACATCTGCTGCTACAGTCAGTGAAGTACTGATACCTTGCAGTCTGTGCTGAATGAGAGGCGGTGCGTGGTGGCACTGAACCAAGAGCAAGGTAGAAACTAGAATGTAGTTGGTTCACTGCCTCCCTTATTTCTTATTTCTCCCAAGTCAGGGGCACTCGTACCTCTGTTGTGGTTGATTTCTTCTCTGCCTCTGCTCACCCGGTTCCTTTGG